AGGGTCCCAGCTATAGGTAAATAGTTAACCCCCAGCCTAGGGTCAAAACACTATGAAAGTGTATAAATAGGTTTTATTACCAAAAATACTTAAAAAAAAAATATTACCAGCAATAAATCTTTTAAGAAAATTTTTTTACCAGCAATACATTTAAAATAAAATAAAAATATTAAAAATTTTGTCGGCATTAAATAACTTATTGAGGTTGATATTCCGTAGAACAAACCAAACCAAACCAGACCTATAAATTTAATCGATATATTGATCCGTTGATATGTATTGAGTCATTTAATCTCTAGATTGGCAAGGTGTTTAACTGATTTTGATTAAAACTGAAAGATTAATTCTTTTCTGATATCAGCCGAAAAGATTGAAAACAGCAATTTTCTATTTTTCGAGAAAGCAAGTAGACCATCATGTAATATCAGGTCATCCCATAAGTTCTGTCCGAATTTTGAATAAAGAAAACAAGTGACCAAATGTTACATTTAATTACAGATTCAATCAACAATGTATTTTCCCTGATAATCTATGACTTCCTTCCATCTATTAACAAGCTTACTAATTCCATTACTGTAAAATTCTTTTGGCTTTGATTCGAAGAACTCACAAATGTCAGTTTTAACCTCTTCCTGTGTTGCAAAAGCTGTTTCTTCCAAATGATTCTGTAAGCTACGAAACAAATGGTAGTCTGAAGGAGCAAGATCGGAAGAATAAGGTGGATGAGGAATTTTCTCCCAACCAAGTTCTTCCATCTTTTGTGACGATTATTGCTGTGTCGGCTCGCGCATTGTCCTGATGAAACATCACCTATTTTTGATTCACTAGAGCAGGTCTTGTTTTCCTCAAAGCTTGGTTCAAACGCTCTAATTGCTGACAGTATATTTGAGCATTAATTGCTGCATTAGATGGTAAGAATTCAAAGTGGATTATTCCTTGGCGATCCCAACAGATTGAAAGAACCTTTTGCCTATGAAGTTCTCTTCTCGGTTGTGGCTGGGGTCCTTTCCCTTTACCAAGCCATTGTCCACGACGCTTAACATTTCGATAAAAGATCCATTTTTCGTCGCCTGTCACAAGTCTATCCAAAAAAGGTGAAACAAGTTGGCGAGAATGGAGAGAAGAGCAGATGTGAACTCGGGATTTGAGGTTGTTTTCAGACAATTCATGAGGCCCCCATTTTCAAAGTTTAGGAACTTTTCCAAGTTGTTGAAGATGACGATGAAGAGTTGTATGGTTTGAACTGAGAACTACTGCCAATTCCTCAACTGTTAAAGCAGGATTTTCTTCAAGGGCTTCTTCAAGAATTTTTTCATCAAACTCAACTGCACGTCCGGTTCAATTTTCATCTTCAAGGGTGAAATCTCCACCTCTGAATTTTGCAAACCATCTTCTGCAAGTTCTTTCATTCACACATTCCTCTCTATAAACTGAGTGAATATTTCTAGCCGCTTCGGCTGCTGAGTTTCCTTTCTTGAACTCATAAAGCATTATGTGCCTCAAATGATTCTTGGGTACTTCCATGTTAGCAGGGTTTTAATCAAACAAAATTTAATTTGATTGTTTAAATGCATCTAAACATAAAATAATGTTCAGCTCCATTAGATATCATAAAATACTCTTTAAATTTCGTCCATTTTAACAAAAAGTTAAAATTCGGACGGAACTTATGGAATGATCTGATCAGATAAATAATAATCACTCATTATGCTAATTGTATTTTTTGTAAAAGACGTTTCCCTAAAAGAAAACAGCATTCATTGACCCAGCAGCTATTATTGCTTTCAAGTTCAAGATTATTATAAATGTAATGTTGTTTGTCCTGGGTTAGAAGATAAACTACCACCGTGTCCTGGGTATGACGATAAACTAAATCCAGCAGCAAGGCCACTGATTAGGAGGTTTTGAGGAGCGTGGAACCACCTCTTAATTGCTGGTGTTCCCAGGTCCATCCTGACCCGGGATAGTAGCACCTGTTAGGGTCCCAGCTATGGGCGAATAGTTAACACCCCACTTGGGGTCAAAACACTATGAAAGTGTATAAACACTATGAAAGTGTATAAATTGTTTTTATTACCAGAAATATTTTGTAAAGATTATTACCAGCAATATATATTTTTTAAATATTACCAGTAATAACATTATTATCTGCATTAAATTACCCATCCAGGTCGATAGTAAACAAACCAAACAAAACCTATAACGTTGTATTCAAATTATAGTGTTGGTAGGTCTATATAAAAAAATATAATAAATTAAATAGGTATCCGTTAATACGTATTCAGTAACGTGTGTGTGTGTAGGTGTGATCATTATAGATTTAATCTCTAGATTTTACAAGGTGTTTAACTGATTTTAATTAAAACTGAAAGATTGATTCATTTCTGATATCAGCCGACAATTAAATGAAGATAAATGTAAACTGAAAACAGCAAATTTGCTTTTTCCGAGAAAGCAAATGGATATAGTAAAAATATATAGTAAAACCCGTTTCCCTAAAAGAAAGCAGTTGGCATCCATTGACCCAGCAGCTAGTATTGCTTTCAATTGAACTTTATAAAATACTAACAGTAGAGCCCGGCGTTGCCCGGGGATGTGACAGTAAGAGATAGATCAAATATCAACCATCATAAAGACTGAAAAATAAAATTGACAAAGATTATTGTTTAAGGTTGACGGACACGCATGTCTCAATTATTATTTTTTTTTTTTTTTTTACGAATTGGTCAAGCAAAAACATTGTTTTCAATCGTTATGAGTCTATCGATTGAATAGAATTTTATTATAAACAATTGTCTTGTAAATGGAATTTTTAAAGCATTCTGAATGTAAAAATAAAGAAAAAAAGTGTGCAAGACAATAAGAAATACAACCTGCCAAAAAAATTGAAGTTTTGTTGAAATCGGTTGAAAAATGTAGGAAATCCGATCCCACATATAAACGAACACACACACACACACACACACAAACAATCTAGGTTTTATAAGTATAACTCGATATGAGTTGTCCCCCTTTCATTCTGGCGACAGAATCGTGTTTTATTGTGTTTTCAAATTGATTTCGTGCAAAAACAGTTGTGTTTTCCCAATTTTTGGCGCTGTCAGAACCACCGCAAGGTAATTTTACGTAGTACTGTGAAGTTTTGTTGAAATCGGTTGAAAAATGTAGGAAATCCGATCCAATATATAAACGTACAGACACACACACACACACACACACATAATCTGCGTTTTATATAAGTAAGATTACTCTCAAGAGAACTTTTCAGGAAAACAGGTTTTCATGTCCAGTAGTTTTTAACGTTCTTTTCTGATGGGTGTTTCCTTCTTAACCCTTTATTCGAGTTATATGTCCTATACATTTTGGTTGTTACGGGACTTGGTTGTCCTAGGTAGAAGGATGAGCTTTGTTAAGGCCCCTAGTCTTTACTCGCTCAGACTTATTTCACTATTGATCTTAATAATATATTGCATCAAATATCTACTATATCTTTCGACTACTGTACCTTCGAAGTTATGCTTTGATAATCTTTCATTGAACTCGACTCATCTCTCGCTATGAACCTAAGATGGTTACTCCCTTTGGCGAAAGATGTTCTATAAGTTCATTCAGATGTCTGGCGACAAGCTTACACCATAACAAGAAGTAACATCACCGGGAACAGCTTGCTCTTTTACACTAAAGAAAAGAACTGTTTATGTTATTTATTTTTATTCCGTTAAACGCAGTAACGCAACAAGGCTAAGAAGCCCCTGCCTTATTCAGTATACGACATTTTGTCAAACTTAAATATAAAGGGTTGCTCTCTATTTGAGCCATTAATGGCCACGGTAAAATCCGATTTATTTAAAAAAAAAAAAATCCGGTATCAACTATAAAAATTTAATTGAAATCTGGTAGTATTTAAAAAACAACAAAAATCCAATATTAATTATGGAAAATTCTGTATCAATTGTAAAAATCAAAAAACGATTTCATTCATAAATATTAGAATAACTGCCGTAATGACTGTATAAAATAGTTTATATATTCAACATCTATATAAATAAATTTGAATATCAGAGTCACACTTTTTCAACTTTTATGCTAGAGACCGAACTCGAACAGATCATACCATTTTGGAATCAGGCCGATCCGTGAGCAAATTAAAAACAATCGGAGCCGGATCGAACTCGCAATCCTGAAAATTTCAATTCCCAAATTTTTATTACTGCGATTGCTTTCCGCGATATTTTACGTGATCTTTTACGACAAATTTTACGACAGGTACAAACACATGTAGTAGAAAGAACAGACCATTTTTCCGGCATTTTAGCGACAGGTACAAACACATGTAGTAGAAAGAACAGACCATTTTTCCGGCATTTTAGTGATGGATCGTATGTATGTGTTCGCACTTGAGTTATGAGCGGATTTCGAGGCCCAATTGGCGCTCAAAACATGGGGCCTTTTTATAACTTGGAAATCAACTTGGGACTAACTGGAATTAATTGCGAAATCCAGAGAAAGTAACACAGGAATTAAAAAAAAAATGTAGAGAAAGTAAGGACCTACGTACATTAAACTGTCTTTAAATTAATTGACGGCAGAATAATTAACGTTGATTTGTTGAAAGGTAAGCTTAAATATTAATGCAATACTTAAATGCAACGATTTTGAGTTCTTCTGTAGTTTATTGTCGCCTATCGCATACGGCAGCAGTATGCATTGCAAAAAGAAATCTCTGCGCAGAAAGGACCAGATTCAAATCAAGAGAAACAAGGATGCATCAATGAAAAGAAGGTTCAAATGAAAACCCATATGAAACGGCAATTAGGAGAGCTTCCAGTGCTGAGAATATGCAAAGAATTAGGGACTGTCATACTCCTGAACAAGCCGAAGGTCGAATGAAGATCCCTCGGCAAATGCTAGTTTAAATGCCGCCCAATAGGACGGCTTTTAAACTAGTTAATTATAAAGATTAAAGTAAAAATCTGATATTAATTATAATAATTAGCCTGACGGCTACATCACGTTTAAAGATCGTTTCCTTTACGATCACTGAAGTTAAGCAACGTCGAACCTGTTCAGTACTTAGATGGGTGACCGCTTGGGAATACCAGCTGCTGTAAGCTTGAATGTGAGAGTGGTATAATGGATAATGGCTCGGACGTGTTAATCGGACAGACGAGTTATAATTCACGTTGGATTTGTTATATTCCGTTAAATACAAATACCTTTGGGAAGGTATGAACCCACCACTTCCCCCTCTAGCTATGGGTTAATTAGTAAGACTTTTATCAGTAAACCATTGTCATCTCAAAGAAAAATAAGTTACACTTTAAAAATTTTACCTACCTTTAAATGACCTGTAATGTGTTGATAAGCCTTAGAAAATGAATGAATCAATAACTATAAAAAATTAGGAGAAATATACACTTTGTACTGTAAAATATGGTTTAAATATCTGACATTAATTACAATTCAAATAAAAATACGATATTAGTTATAACATTAAAGAAATAAATATCAAGTATTAATTATAATACGATATTAATCATAACATAAAAGAAATAAATATCAAGTATTAATTATAATACGATATTAATTATAACATAAAAGAAATAAATGCCAAATATTAATTATAATACGATATTAATTATGACATAAAAGAAATAAATACCAAATATTAATTATAATACGATATTAATTATAAAATAAAAGAAATAAATACCAAATATTAATTATAATACGATATTAATTGTGACATAAAAAAGAAATAAATACCAAATATTAATTATAATACGATATTAATTATAACATAAAATAAATAGATATGAAGTAATAATTATAAAAATAATAACCAATTAATCGTTATAAAAATGAAAAATAGACAATTATAATTATAAGAAATAAAACAAAATCAATTACTGATTATGGAATGATAAAAAAAAAACTTATTTAAACTATTTATATTCGGACTCCTGCCCTCAATTTTATCACTACTTTTCGCCAGTTGTGCCCTCTATCAATCTCTGTAACCTCCAGGGAATTCTGAATTGAATGCTTTATTAAATTTACGAGGGTAAGCTGTTGTCGATCCACTGCCCATTTCTCGGAATATAGTCGCGTTCTTATTTTTAGCACAGTTCATTTATTTCTCGCCCATTTCCACTGAGTCCAAGTAGACACTACCAGGCGCAGAGATTGAACTCAATTAATGTCACTAAATTCACGAACCAACGCATCGCAAGCAATAACTGAGCAGTACTAAAAATAAGAACTAGCTATCCCTAGACATGGGAAGTGGAACGAAGACAGTCTACCCCCAGCAAATTAAATAATGGGTTCAGTTCAGAATTCACTATAGAGTACACAGATCGATATAAACGCGTGGAAGGCCGAAGAGAACAACAGTCGAAATGTAGGGATAATAGTAACAAGAATGAGAGCAATGACTCGGATATAGATTCTGTCATATCCGTTATATTCACTTACGTGCTAATACCCTTGCGAAAGGTATGAATCCTCTTCTCCCTCCCCCCAGCTATGGGTAAATAGCGAGACAGATGGGGTTTCATAGCCTTGGATGGCAACTGGTCTACCACAGAAAGAAATGGCAACCTACTGAGGGAAAAATATTTGCTTTATCAGTTATGTATCAAAAGATACATGATCGCCTAAGCGTGTATCACGCATGTCACACAACTGACTGATTCCTTGTATATATGCCGAGTCCCAATTCTAGTTGAACCATTACGTTCACTTACGTGCTAATACCCTTGGGATAGGTATGAATCATCATCATCTCCCTCCAGCTATGGATAAATAGCAGAAAAAGACCGGGTTCTATAGCCTTGGATATCAACTGGTCTACCTCTGCAAAGAAATGCCTACTGTGAGAAGAAGCCTGCCTCATGTATCGAAAGATACATGATCACCTATGTGTATCACGCATGTCACATAACTGACAGTAATAAAGATCTAATTCCCAGTAATTCAGAAAGAAAAAAATATGTTCTTAATTATATTTCTAAAACTCAGCAATTAATTACACGAATCTGAAAAATGAGAGCGTAGACGTTAATGGGATAAGTGTTTTCTTTAAATGTTCATCCTCAGGCGTTCACTCAGTATTTCTTAGAATGAAGTATGAGGAAGTAACGGTTACTCTGAAGTGATACTACTCTGGAGTTTTTTCTCAAATTCCTGAGATTTTGGGACGGTTGTTCCTTCCTAACACCACCCATGATGTTCTTAGTAATATATCAGATAGAGGGTATGTATCAGATAACAGTTTAAAGGGTCGCAATCGACGGGCGTTCCTTTGATAACCAAGTGGCGGGAGAACGTCGTCACTGTGCAACTGTTGATTACATTTTACATTTAGAAGGCCGACATGAGCGCGATTGTTTTAGTAAGAAGTATCTGCCATGCTCAGCCAACCGCCCACAGAACAGAATGATGCAGAGAAGAAAAACAATTTCTACATTTTCCCTCAAAAAGCCATACAGACAACGGATATGAAAATAAAGCAAGGTGGAAAAAGGATGTATCAGATTTTGAAGAGCCTTTTGCCTAATCTGGGGGGGGGTAGGTATCGTTCGAGAGGTTAGCTGAAAAGGAATTAACGCGGTTAAGAATAATAACTTTGGCCACACGACGAAGAAATATGGTTTGGATAAGTTAATGATTACAAAGCATATGGTAAACAAAAGTAACAGATAAATGTGATTCCACACAACAGGAAAACAGAACAAAGACTTAGCATCATCGTTTTACGTTGGGGATGATTTCTCGGATCAAGAAGTCTCTTTCTACTCAATCATGAGGATTATCCATGGAACTCACTAGGTCTTCAGTTTGACTTAGCATCGTCATTTTAAGTTGGCGATGATTTCTCGGATCAAGAAGTCTCTTTCTCCTCAATCATGATAAATATCCATGGAACTCACTAGGTATTCAGTTTGACTTAGAATCGTCATTTTCACCCTTTCACTGCTACTCATTTGCCCAGTGCTGCCCCCATCCGGTCAGCCATTTTTAAAGAAAATGCCAAATTTCAATCTACATATTTTATTACACAGAAAACTGGCACCAGTGTGTTTTACAGCCTTCCATTTTCATGGATATACCTGGGAATGACTTACCAGATAAGTAATGGGTATACACATGATATCTTTTGAAGCATTGTCCTTTGTGATTTTACGATAGATGGCGCAACGGGACACTCATACCAGTGGTATGCAAAAAACGTAGGTTTCTGTACTTAGCCAGCTGGAGCAAGATAAGAAAAACGAAGATCTCCGTAGTTAGCAGCGGAAGTGTTAAGTTGGCGATGATTTCCCGAATCAAGAAGTCTATTTATCCCCAATCATGATGATTATTCATGGAAATCAGTAGGTCTGCAGTTTGACTTCCTACGTCTTCACATATTAGCTGATTGTATGTTTCGAATGGGCGACCCATTATAGAATGTCGTCAAATATAGTGTTGACTTCTTCCATCAAAATATTGCCAATGTTTTCCATTCCGTTATACCTTTTGTCCTTATTTACCCAAACTCACAGGCGACTGAAATTATTTTTTATGAGACAGACACTTCACTTCGCTTAAAATTGACATCCGTTGTTTTCTTTGACATAGGGGTAAATGGCCACACTGCTTTTTTTTGCTTATTGTTTTAATTTTTCTATTTCCAGGGTAGATTAAATGCAACACAGAGTAGCTTTGTATTTGTGACATCTTGCATCTATTGTAACTAGTTTGACAATTGGTTGATGGATGTGTTACTTAATGCCGAAATCTAAAAAAAATTAACACAATTTTATGGCTTCATCTAAATATATTCTAAACCCAATTGTATGTCTTCCATTACAGCACATTATACTATATAAAATATGTTACTGGTAGTTTTACTCTATAAAAACGTAATTTTGTAATTTCATAGTATATTGTTTTTGGTTGAGGTTTTTGTATTTGCTGATAGCTGAGACGGTACCAAGTGTTACCACCCCTAATCAAGGTGAACATGGGAATAACAACAATTATGAATTGGTTCCACGCTCCTCAAAACATTCAGTCTCCTGATCAGAGGCTTTGTTGCCGGATACAGTTTATCGTCATACCCAGGGCTATGGTAACTAATGGCGTAGCAGAGACCTTCATGGCTGGGAAGAAAGACAACAGGAACAAAAAGATAATAATGGTTATACAGTAAAAATACTAATAATATCACAATGAAAATAATAAATCAGGATGAATGTTAAATGTATCACAGTCAAATAACAGTGTGTTAGATGGTATCTTATTACTTTGGCGTCCATGTTTTATCTTCGATATTAACAACACTGGCCTCTATAGGGATGACGTGGCTGTACTTCTACGCAAATCAAGCGCATAAAAAACTGTCCTTATAAAATTCTTCAAGGAGCATGGTCTGGGCATTACCACCGCAATCAATGCTGAAATAATAAATTTACTGTTTTTATATGTCACCTATCTAATGGGCTTTATAAATCATATACTAAATTTTTATACAATCATAGATACATCAGCAAACAATCTAACCACTATCCTAGAACACTAAATAATTTACATAAATCGGTCCAGCATCTCTAGCAATAAGGATATTTTTGACAAATATAAAGGCATATATGTAGACGCAGTAAAACAGTAACAATAAAGTTAACCTCGAATTGTTAGCCAATTGCAAATAACGTCAATATATGTTTTAACCCTCCCTTTAGCAAAAATGTCAGAACTAATATAACCCAAAAACTTGACATATCACAAACACCCCTACTTCCACGAAAGCAGTGACCCCTTGATAAAGAACAAACAAACCCCAGACAACACCTCAATTCAAAACTATAAATGAGTAAAACATTCCATACCATAGTTATTCCAAAACAATGCTTGAGGATGAAACTGCCACCCAGTGGTTAAGGTTTAATATTAGAATTAAACTGCTGACCAGTTTCGAAACATAGTAATTTCTGTGTCACGATGGAATCATATTTTTTTTTTAATAATTATAATCTAGGCTCTACTTGTGTATCGAGCACTATTTTTTAAAAATTAAAACAAAAATACAAAAGATCTTCGGATTATCAATCTAACAGTTCTTTCCT